ACCCTAGGCCCTAAGCTGTAGGGAGTTGAAACTGAACCCTCGGCACAAGCCGTGTCCATTTATTTACTCAGGACATTTGCCCATGAAAGGGTTTTGTGTAAAGATTTAGGGTTTAGGGTTTAGGGTTTAGGGTTTAGGGTTTAGGGTTTAGCGGGCTGGCGTGGGGCCCCCCGTGGACCTCCGTCGGCTGAGAGTCACCGTGAGAATTTAGGGTTTAGGGTTTAGGGTTTAGTTTAGGGTTTGGCATTTAGGGTTTTGTTGACGTTTCATTTTTGTTTTTTATATGTTTTTCTGTGATTTTGTGACCGTCGGCGTCACCCGTAAACCCTAAACCCTAAACCCTAAACCCTAAACCCTAAACACTAAACCCTAAACGCTGACGGTCCTGCCAACTGCCTGAGCCGCTGCCTCTATCTCTTCTTAAGTTTCTCCCTTTTAGGGTTTAGCGTCTCTTTTCGAGGGTTTAGGGTTTAGGGTTTTCGCGGCCTTCCTCCCCGCGAAGCCTCCGGGCTGCTGTCTGCAGCCAACCCTAAACCCTAAACCCTAAACCCTAAACCCTAAACCCTAAACCCTAAAGCGGGCTCTCTACCTCTATAATGGAAGGGTCTTTGCCGAGCCGCGGGAAGCTGCTGCAGCAGCACAAGGCGGAGCTGCGCGTGCGTGGAAACCCCAAACCCTAAACCCTAAACCCTAAACCCTGCTGTGCCTGCGGCTGTCTAGGGCTTAGGGTTTAGGGTTTAGGGTTTAGGGTTTAGGGTTTGCGCGCAGGTGCTGCGGACGGAGGCGAAGAGGGTTTGCGCCAAAGCCAAATCCAAAGAAGAAAGAGCAGCAGCAGAAGCAAAATATTCGCTGCTGGAGCAGCAGCTGCTGCAGCAGCAGCACCAGCAGCTGCAGCAGCTAGCAGAAGCAGCAGCAGCAGACTCAGATGTAGAGTCGAACAAGGCGGAGGCGCTGCAAGCTGCTGCTGATGCTGCTGCTGCTGCAGCAGCAGCAGCAGCAGCGCCTAACCCTAGCTCCCCCCCAAACACCCCAATAGCAGGTGAACTCTAAACCCTAAACCCTAAACCCTAAACCCCAAACCCTAAACCCTAACCCTAGCCCGCGAGACCTAGCCCAAAACACTTGGTGCCCGCATGCTGCTGCGTGCCCCGCGCATCGAGCGAAAGGCGAGGGGCTCAGGGCCAGGGTTTAGGGTTTAGGGTTTAGGGTTTAGGGTTTAGGGTTTAGGGTTTAGGGTTTGGGGGCGCGCAGGGCCCTAGCGCACCAGCTGGAGACAAACCCTAGCGACGAAAGGGTTTGGAACCCTCAAAGTCTCCGCAGCGAAATTTCGGAGGTTTTGAAAAAAAAGAAAACCCTTTTTCAGGACTTTCTCGATGAAGACCTCAAGCAAGACGAAGGTCTGCTGCTGCTGCTGCTGCTGCTGCTGCTGCTGCTGCTGCTGCTGCTGCTGCTGCTGCTGTTGCTGCTGTTGCTGCTGTTGCTGCTGCGGTTGCTGGTGCTGCGCCTGTCGCTGCTGCTGCTGCTCCTGCGGCTGCTGCTGCGGTTGCTGGTGCTGCGCCTGGCACTGCTGCGGGCTCTGCTGCTGCTGCTGCTGCTGTTGCTGCTGTTGCTGCTGCTGCTGCTGCTTCTGCTGCTGCTGCTGCTGCTGCTTGATACTGTTTGCTTCTTCCTCTGGTGTGTTTACGCGCAGCATATGAAGCATTCTGCGAAAACATTAAAAACAGCCAAGACTGGGGGTGCGACTTTAAGGTTTAGGGTTTAGTGTTTAGGGTTTAGGGTTTAGGGTTTAGGGTTCTGTTGCCAGGGTCCAAGGGAGGGAGTGGTTTCTAAAAGTCCATTTTGTTGCATTTAGTGCAGGATACTATTAAAGGAAAAACGAATCCAGAGGTATAATGCAAAGTGTAGGGTTTAGGGTTTAGGGTTTAGGGTTTAGGGTTTAGGGTTTGGAGTTCGGGGTGATTCAGAGGAGAGATTGAGCTTCATGCTGCTACGAAGCTGCTGCGTCGCCCTATAAAGGTTTTCTCTTGGTCAGACTCTGTCAAGGTGTTGACTTACGTGAGCCGAGCCCCTAAACCCTAAACCCTAAACCCTAAACCCTAAACCCTAGCAAGAGCAGCAAGGGCTGTCTTCGAAACCTACGCAGCAGCAAAGCCTTTGTCTCCCTCCCAGGGCCCCACAGACCCTAGAGCGCTGCATTTGGCAGGTCTTTGAAGATGCCGGCAGCTAGGGTTCAGGGTTTAGGGTTTAGGGTTTAGGGTTTAGGGTTTAGGGTCTGTGCTGCAGGGGGAAGAGTTCGCGGAGGCCCCGCCGCTGCGGCTTGTCTTCCACCGCTACCTTTTGGCTTCGGGGCCTCACTACAACTCCGTGCTGCAGCAAGACCCCACAAGCGACACTGCCAGCTAGCAGCAGCAGCAGCAGCAGCAGCAGCAGCAGCAGCGGGAGCAGCAGAAGCAGCGGCAGCACCAGCGGCAACAGTAGCAGCAGCAGCGGAGACGCCAACAGGAGCAGCGGCAGGAGCAGGGGCAGTACGTGCAGCAACTGGGGCAGCAGCAGCAGCAGCAGCAACAGCGACAGCAGCAGCAGCAAAAGCAGCAGCAGCAGCAGCAGCAGCAGCAGTAGCAGCGGGCTGCGAAACATCAAATGTGGTTTCTTGATTAGTGTCAGCCTGTGCTCAATTTGAGGTGTATGTACACCCGGTGTCGCCTCAACTTCAAAAGGGCCCTGGCCGAAATCTGACTCTTCTTAAGGCCTTTTGCAGTCGAGGGTTTAGGGTTTAGGGTTTAGGGTTTAGGGTTTAGGGTTTAGGGTTTAGGGTTTGGGGTCTAGAGCTAGTGTGCGAGAGTTAAGCAACGCGTTGACAACGGCAACTCAGCACGAGGTGACCTCGGGTCCTTATGAGCCAACCTGCAAACCCTAAACCCTAAACCCTAAACCCTAAACCCTCGATCGAAAACCCCGGATCAGCTGGAGCCTCGAAAACGCCAGAGAGTCTGGAGGAGCTGAAGAGTTCTTGTTGAATTTCTGAAATAATTATTTCCAAATTAATTTCGAAAAGTTGATTTATAATTTCCTCTTTATTTTTATTTTTAAAATAATGAATTATAAATTAATTTTGAAAAGCTGAATTGTAATTTCTTCACCTTATTATTCAAAGCAGCAGCTTGGCAGGACCACTCGGCGAGTTTGTGGGTTTTTTCGCGGAAATAAGAATTTATTTTGAATTAAAATGAAAAATAAAACCCAATTTATGAATTAAAATGAATTATTAATAATTATAGTTCGAAAAAACTCAATTAGTTCAAACAATTAATAAACCGGAAAGTGGACTGGCGGGGAATTGAACCCCGGACCTTTTGCATGCGAAGCAAACGTGATACCCCTACACCACCAGCCCGTGGAAGCTGCTGCTGCAGCGGCGGAGTTTCGACAATTTTGCGGAATTTTGAAACAAATTAGGGAATTAAATGAATTAATTACTTTATTTTATTCTTTTTTTAATTAAAAAACTCATTTAATTCATTTTGCTGCTGCAGCAGCTCCCAAATCCGCTGCGCCAGAGCCGGGGGGTCCAGCCGCAGGCGGTGTCGGCCTGTGGTCTGACCGCCTTCGAGGCGCAGCCAACGCAGAAACCCTAAACCCTAAACCCTTTTTTAGGGTTTAGTCCTTTCCTCGCTCTTCCTGCCGGCCTGGCGCCTAGCTAGAGGACCAGCCCTCCGCCGCTCGCTGCAGAATCCAGACCCTTTTTTGTTTTCCCTTCGAAATGGGATTTACCTCTCAACCCCCAAGTCATTGACTCTAAACCCTAAACCCTAAACCCTAAACCCTAAACCCCATCTCCGTGAGCCACTTAGGCTCATCGCTTCATTCAACTGCTGGCTGCATCGAGACTCAAAACCAGACCGCCGATGAGGCGCTCAAATGGCAGGCTGCCGCAAGCCTTAAACCCTAAACCCTAAACCCTAAACCCTAAACCCTAAACCCTAGACCCTGCCCGAGCAGCAGCTAGCCGGGTGGCCACGAAGGCCCTGCAGCTCTAATGAGCCCATCCACCCTCTGCAGGGGCCCCCATGGGAACACCCTAGGGGGGCCCCCTGGGGGCCCCATGGGGGGGGCCCCAGGGGGCCCCCTTGGGGGGCCCCCCCGGGTGCACCCCCGGGGGCCCCCTAGGGGGCCCCCAGGGGTCTACTGGCGGGGCCCTCGGGGGCCCCTGAGGGTTTACGCGGCCAGTTTGCTGCTTGTTGCTGCTGTTTGCTGCTGCGCTGCTGCTGCTGAGAAAGAAAAAGGTGTAAACCCTAATTTAGAGAAAAGCGGAGACAAACCACAAGAAGGAGCTGCGGCAGATATTGTTACGGTGAGCCAAACCCTAAACCCTAAACCCTAAACCCTAAACCCTGAACACCAAGGTGCAGACCATGCGCATAAATAAATATTGGATTCTTAATTGGAGGGTCAAGAGGCCTTCATCTCGATGCTTCCTCGGCTTTAGGGTTTGAGGTTTAGGGTTTAGGGTTTAGGGTTTAGGGTTTGGGGTTTAGGGTTTGTGGCTCAGGTCTCGGTGTATATTCCTGAATTTATTCCTGGCAGCGTAGAGGGGCCCCCCTTGGGGGCCCCCAGTACCCTTTTTAGTCCCTCTAAATGGGGGCCCCCCTCTCGTCTGCTGCAGCTGCAGGTTTCAGCAGCAACTCCATCTAAGGAGCTGCTGCTGCTGCTGCTGCTGCAGCACACGACCTCTTCTGACCCGCTGCTGCAGCAGCTGCGTCAGCTGCAGCAGCGGCAGCCACAGCTGCTGCACCTGCTGCAGCTGACGCAGCAGCAGCAGCAGCAGCAGCAGCCGCAGCAGCAGCAGCAGCAGCAGCAGCTGATGGAGGAGGAGCAAATTGCCCTTTTAGAAACCCTAGAAGAAGATGCAGCATTTAGGGCGCTGCAGCGGCAGCTGCGGAAGCAGCTGCTGCTGAGCAGCAGCAGCAGCAGCAGCAGCAGCAGCGGGGACCCGCAAGTGGCGCGGCGGCGGGCAGTGTCTGCTGCTGCTGCTGCGCTGCGTGCTGCTGCAGTGCCCCAGCTGCACGCTGCTGCTCTTTTGTCCCGCTTCTCATTTGCTGCTGCTGCTGCAGCAGCAGCAGCAGCAGACAAGGAAGCTGCTGCTTCGAAGGAAGGCCGTGTGGGGAGAGATTCAAGTGTACATACAGTCCCGTCGCTGAGGCGGTTCACGCGGCGCAGCAGCAGCAGCAGCAGCAGCAGCGCAGCAGCAGCAGCAGCAGCAGCAGCAGCAACGGCGAAGAACAAAGCGCGGCGGCTGGCGCGGATCAGCTGGGGAGGCGAAGCTGCGCGGCAGCAAAAGAAAGAAACAAATAAAGAAGAAGAAGAAATAAAAGAAAATGATTTCGAAAAAGACTTTTCCAAAACCCTAATTCAAAAGTGCTTCCTAAACCCTAGCCACGAGAGCTGCAGCGCCAGGGAGCTCGCTCCAAACCCTCTCCAGCTGGTCCTCGCCCACAGAGAGCCCTCAAACGTAAACCCTAAACCCTAAACCCTAAACCCTAAACCCTAAACCCTAAACCCCAGGGCCGAAACCCGGAACCCTTGCGGGAAGACAAGTTGGTGCAGCCAGCCCTTTGCGGACACTTTCTAGTCACTTGGCACAGGCCGCCGCACTGCCCCAGCATCTAGGGTTTAGGGTTTAGGGTTTAGGGTTTAGGGTTTAGGGTTTAGGGTTTGCAGAGGGACATGCTGGGAGACGCGCTGCGCGAGTGGCAAGACCGCGTTGCTGCGGAGCTTCTTCTTTCTTTTCAATTCGATGAAAGAGACACATTTGATCTTTCGGGAAATTCCGTTAACGTAAGTGTTGCTGCTGCTGCTGCTGCTGCTGCTGCTGCTGCTGCTGCTGCTGCTGCTGCTGCTGCTGCTGCTGCTGCTGCTGCTGCTGCTGC